ATATATAGACATCAATGATTAATGACTATTGTCATAGAGAATTAGAAAATATTTCTCCGTTAATTCAGTAGAATTATATTTCTATAATGACATTGAAAATAATCGAGTCAAACCGATTAAATTTTATAGAAAAAATAAATATTTGTTGAATAAAAGTTGCAATGAAAAACTTGATGAAAAGTATATTTTGAAATAAATCTCTTTTATTATCTCGTGACATATATATCATAGAAAGCTAAATAAAATACAGATTTAATGATTATACAATATGATATTTATTCTTGTTTAATAAATATTTGTTATGTTCTCTTTTATGATTATTAAAAGACAACATATTATTCTATAGTTTATTATCATAAATTTTTTCTTTTTTCTTCTCAAATATGAAAAAAATTGAAGGTAAATAAAGAATAATTCTCTCATTCTCTACAGACTGCTTTTGTCTTACATAAAACAAATGATTTTGGTAAAGATCGTATCAATAGTAAATCTGTCATATTCATAATTATATAAACTTCTACTTGATTTTTATTTTGAAATCTTTATTTTCTTTAACTTTAATTGCAACGTAAAGATTTTTGAAATAGAAACAGCAAATATTATAATCATAACATAATAGAATACTAGAAACTTTTCTCATATTGATAGATTAATTATTTACTCAATTGTATACGTTACAATTTCGATTTTACAGAAACGAAAAAATAAAACAACACTTTTTTTGCATTGATAACGTGAAGTACTCTTAACCTTATAGTGTCTATTATAATTGTTGTCGGGAAAAAAAACGAACAGTTTATATATGTATGTATGGTAGAGACATATTTGCGATTGAATAAAAAAGAAAAGAGCATTAACAAAGATAACAAACTAGAATAAATAAAGTAAGTCGGATTGAATGTATACAATAAATTATTATTGTGAGTACAAGATAGCAAACAACGTAAATCTCTTGTCTATTGATTGATCAAATCCATTTCACAAAAAAGCAATTGTGCGGATACTTACTGACAAGTTCTTCCTTGGTCATTACTTTTCAATTATTCATTATTTTCATATCGAATGAATGTAGAATATTTATACTGATTTTCATCACAATGGATTATCTCAACTTTTTTTTTACATAATTATTCCTATATAATTTAGAAACGATTTATTTACTATTTAGTAATGAGGTTTTTTTTACAGTTAGATAGTTCAAAATCTGTTTTATGATTCTGAACTAATCTCAAGATTACAAATAAATAGTGTTTATGTTTTTTTTTTATAAAACTTATAAAAGTAGCATGTGAAAAACAGATTTCTATAGATTAATTCTATTTGAAGCAAATATATCGTCTCAACAGGTTTTTGTTGGACATCTTAAAAATTTTAAGTCTTACCAAATTTGTAAGGAATTTCCGAGCCACTCTCGCCCGAGAAATTGCTCATAACATTTTCTTGAGTTATTCTATCGTATTGTACTCAAATGAAAGATGAGATTTAATGTTGAAACAAGTGATTTTCTTATGAATNTTTTAGATCGAAAATATGGTCTTGATGTAAATATAGAGTCCTATTGGGAAAATTCACTGAAAACTTTCGATATCTTTAGAAACAAATCATAAACATGAACTCTTTTCATGTTAGACAAACTTCATTACAGTCAACATGCACGAAATCCCGGTGGAAAAACTAATCGAAAACTGAGAATCCTCTCTAGTAAATAAGTTTGTCTAACATGAAAAGAGTTCATGTTTATGATTTGTTTCTAAAGATATTGAACGTTTTCAGTGAATTTTCCCAGTAGGACTCTATATTTACATCAAGACCATATTTTCGATCTGAAATTTTACTCACATGACAACCTCCATTAGACTGGCTTGTATAAAAATGTTCATAATTTCTGCACTAGATCTCTTTGAAATATGAAGCCTTCAAAAAATCCATGACGATCTTATGTGGACAAAGTTTTTGATCAAAAGTCGAAAATATGGTCTTGTTGTAAATGTAGGGTCCTACAGTGAAAATTCACTAAAAAAAAAGTTCGATTTTTTTATGGTAGACATAGTTCACTAAGCTCAACAAGATACAAAATGTCTCAACTGAAAAACGAAACAACACATTGAAAATGTTTCCTCATTAGTTAATTTAACTTTTCAATATTTTTCCTTAAAACTATGAAGATTTACTATGAATAATCATTTCTTCTTTAGGTAATTCTCATGAACTATGTGGTAATGATAATACAATAGTTGTTTTTCAAATTCTTGATTCTCGTCGTACATATTCATTTGTTCGTACACCAGCTGAACCATTTCCTAATTATGCTTATGATCGTTGTATACGTTTAAATTCATTTAATCAATCAATAATATATCACTTTGCAATTTATAATAAACATGAATTTCATCCACGTTATTGTTTAGCATTTTGTACAAAATATGAACAAAAATATGCATTAATTAATGATAATGAATGTTTATGTACAAATGAACCCATGAAAGACGAATACAATGATGTTGATATATTACCTGGACAACATTGTTCTCAACAATGTGCAGGCAATTATTTTTATTCATGTGGAAATAAAAATAATTTAGCTATATATTCAATGTATTTATTACTACCAAAATGTCGACATGGTAAAAAAAAAAAAAGATTCAAATTTCTGTTTTTTTTTTCAGAACAAAAAATTAAAAAACTTTTCATTTATTCAGGTTTTGAAGTCGCAGAAAATGATCAACAATGTGTTTTTAGTCATTTTTCTTCTAAAACAAACTCTCTTCAATTAGCAAAAAATTATTGTGAAACAATTGGAGGCATACTGGCAAAAATTAATGATATTGTCGAAATTCAAGATATTCTACCTAATCCAATATTGCATACACGTCTTACGCAAAAATTACTTATTTTTTATAAATTTCGATTTGTCAATGATACAAGATATTATTGGATTGATCGTACAACAGATGTAGCTGATTCAGCAACAGTATCCGAACGTTTACTTAAACAATGTTCTAAAATACCTGAAATTTCTGATAAAAATTGTATTGCTATACAAAATGTACTAAATTCTGATCAAAATATAGTAAGTCATGAAAGATGTATTACTGAATCAAATGAATGTTCAACAATATCAGCTATGCCAGTTTGTGTTGATAAACATATAGAAATAAAGTCAACACTTGTTCCACCTATTTCAGATGAAAATCCATCAGAGGTATCAGTTAATATTACAAGTGAACATTTATGTGATGATAAAGATAATGAATATCACTTTATAGATAATTATTGTTATAAAATATCCCATCATGAAGTAAGTTGGAACGATGCTCAAACAGAATGTCGACGTGATAAAGCTATGGTATTTATTCCTGAAAAATCTATTACATTACAATACATTAAATCATTACTTTTACGCCGAAGAATATACATATCATCAGGTTTTGCACATGTTGGTGTTTATTATGATAATTCAAATCACACAGTTGTACAATATGATATATCAAGTGAAGATGATACATTAGCTGTATTAGATACTAATGCTATTTATGATTTGTGTGAAAAAACATTTCAAGAACGTTATACAGCATTAATGATGTCATCAAGTTTAACAACAAGTGAAAAAACTCGTTTAAAAACTCAACAAAGTGGTTGTGCATACATTGACTTAATGTCAAATGTTATGCCAATAATTCGATGTGATGAAATACCGTGTAATCGAACAGCAATTGTTATATGTCAAAAATTACCAACTATTAAAACAAGTATTATTCAAGCAAAACGGTAGATTTAAAAGCATGTTTAAAATAGAGTCCTGCGAGATAAACTTTTTTGCACCCCAAATCCTGTTTATCTCGTTGAATGAAAGGCGGCCGATTACACAACGTTCAGTTAAACTTGATCCTCTTCGGAGGCTATAAAAATACGAAAAACGATAGTTAACATTTGAGAATTTCCTTATATGGTCAGGTTTTGCATCTCTTAATCTGTCAGTTGAGCCAAGATAGTTGAACACGAGTGAAATTCATTATGATTTCCTCTACAGAAGTCTAAAATTTACAAATAGGAGATATTGTATAGGGTCGCGTTCTGACATTTTCAGACTCGTGTAGTCTGCCTTTAGAGATGGAAGCGATTCGGTTTAAAAAAAAAAGACGAAACGATTCTATACCTGTCAGTCTACTTGAATGGCAATCTACTTCTTTTTTTCTGTTATTTATTTCAGTATTAAGATATTTCTTAGAAATGAAAAATTTAAGTATACAAAACATTTTGATATAAGGATTGAAAACAAATTCGAGACATCGATTTTGTTTCTATATTATCCCAAAAAATTTTTGAAACAATCTCGATTGTCCTGTCAGATGAGACAGATGATATTTTTTCGAGATTTCGAACTATTCTGCAGAAGTCTATTTTAAAGTCATTTTTTCTTTTACTTTTATATTCTAGTAAATATATTGAACTACCATCGACTGATACTTCAACTGATCTTTCATCCACAACAACAGTAATTAATACTGAAAGAGTTTCATCGGTGAATGTTAATCAAGATGGAAAAGCTGAAACAGATTCTTCAGTTGATATACAATCAATTGGAAGAGATTTTCCTTCAATGTTTTCTGATTTTAACTATTCCTTTTATTCTAATACCTCTTCGTCTTATGCATAAAATATACAATCATCATGATTTAATATTTCGTCGTACTTATCGACGTAAAACAGACTCTATCTATTCTCAATTAACATCTGCAAATGAATTTGATTTAAATTGAAAATAAATATTGAAAAAATAAATCAATAGTTTTGTATGATCTAATATATTTACAAATGAAAATATATTTCAATACTATTGGATTTCATCAAATGACAAAAATAGAATAGATCAGAGAAAAAAAAAGAAAGAAACACATCTTTACATACTGAAGCTTATTAAAAATACTATTGTTTTACATCCAATATTAAATGTAGTTGCAATGAAAGAGAATTTGAACTATGCATAACAATGTTTATATGAAATGATTTTTTATTCGTTAAAATGAAGTTTTCATAGAAAAAAAAAGAAGGGTGTGGGTGTCGGTCCATTATTCACCCACACCCATACGCACACCCACACTCAAAAGAATCAAGATTATACGATTGATCTGTGATGAGATATTTTCAAAATACTAAATGTTGCAATCTTTATGCTGCACCTAGTACTTATATCGATACTTCATCCAGTTTTGCGAATCTAAAGCAGCATGTAAAAAGATAACTAAGCGGGGAAGAAGGACGTATTAATTCGAAGTTTTGGTGTAGGCAGGCTTCGATGAAAGAAGCCTCATCTGTTAGTATACATAAAAATTATAGACTACTTCAATTTTGTTGATCATTACCGATTTTTTCATTAACTCAGTTTGTCCATGTAGATGTCTGGGTGTGTGGATACGTGTGTGCATGTATCTGTGAGTTCAGAGTAAACACCTACCCATACCCACACCCACATCATAGATAATTCAAAAATATTTCTCTACTAATTCAGTAGAATTATATTTCTATGATGACATTTAAAATAAATCGGGTCAAATCGATTAAATTTTATAGAAAAAAACAAATGTTTGTCGAATAAAAGTTGCAATGAAAAACTTGATGAAATGTGCATTTGAAATATATCTCTTTTCTTATCTCGTGACATATATATCATAGAAAGCTAAATAACATACAGATTGAATGATTATATGATATCACATTTATTCTTGTTTAATGAATATTTGTTATGTGCTCTTTCATGATTATTAAAAGACAACACATTATTCTATAGTTTATTATCAAAAAATTTTTTCTTTTCAAAAATAAAATAAATTGAAGGTAAGCAAAGAATAGTTCTCATTCTCTACAGACTGCTTTTGTTTTACATAAAACAAATGATTTTGATGAAGATCGTATGAATAGCAAATCTGTCATATTCATAATCATATAAACTTCTGCTTGGTTTTTATTTTGAAATCTTTATTTTCTTTAGCTTTAATTGCAAACTAAAGATTTTTGAAATAGAAAGAGCAAACATTATAATCATAACATAATCAAATACTAAAAAGCATTTCTCAATTGTGTATGTTATAATTTCGATTTTATAGAAACGAAGAAATAAAACAAAACATTTTTCTAGCATGGATAACGTGAAGTACTCGTAACCTTCTGGCACATTTTATAATTGTTGTTGAAAAAAAAAACGAACAGTTTATATATATATATGTATGGTAGAAACATATTTGTTGCGATTGAATAAAACAAGAACGAACATTGCAAAAGACTTTAAACTAGAACAAATAAAGTAAATACATATTAATAAACAATTCTTGTGAGTTGACTTCATTTATCATAAATTTTGTTTCTTGTTTTTTGTTGCTTCAAAACATTTTCTTCACAAAATGGTACACAATGTAGATCTCTGGTCTATTGATTGATCAAATCCGTTTCACAAAAAACCGATTGTGCCGATACTTACTGACAAGTTCTTCCTTAGTCATCATTTTTCAATTATTCATTGTTTTCATATCAAACAAAGTGTAGAATTTTTTTAATGCTTTTCATCCTGATTTAGAAACGATTTATGTACTATTAAGTGATGAGTTTTTTTTTCTAGTTAGACGGTTCAAAATTTTTTTTATCACTCTGAACTAATCTTAAGATTAGAAATAAAGACTGTCCCATTTTCTCTCTTTTTATAAAACTTGTAAAAATAGAATCTAAAAAACAGATTTCTATAGACTGATCCCATTTGGAACGAATAGATTGTCTCAACAGATTTTTGTTGGATATCTTAAAAAGTTTAAGTCTTAGCAAATTTGTAAGGAATTTCCAAGCTACTCTCATCCGAGAAATTGCTCATAACATTTTCTTGAGTTATTCTATCGTATTGTACTCAAATGAAAGATGAGATTTAATGTTGAAACAAGTGATTTTCTTATGAATATTATTGAAATCAAAATTTGCGCGTCAAGTTTAGATAACCTTGTTTGGATCGATCAAAAACATATATCAATAGTTTCTTTTTAATTGATCTTTAGAAGCATTCAATTAGCATAATCCAATTTATTTTGAAAACATTTAAACTCATTTGAAAACTAAGAAAAAATTGAATGATAATAAAAATATAAAATAGAAGTTAATATTATATTTAAAGATATTTATGAAAACGTATGTTATTTTTTTAAAAATAAATCTTAGATTTTATTCAAATACGTTTCAATGATCTATTCGATAGTTTTTAGCGTACATTTTCAAAGTTAATCTATCAATTTAGTTTTTTGAAAATTGCTAAGATATATTGCTTTTAATTGATCAAACAGTAATTGAATTAACGTTGTTTTTTTCGTAAGTTAAATAGGATTGTACACAAAAGAAGTTGATTATCTTTCTATGGGGATTTATTTAATGGGATCTATGAAAAATATTTAAAGATATTCCAAATCAGTTAAAATATATAATTGAATTCTAATTTTAATTCATAATAGAAAATCGCAAGATTTAAAAATAAACGTTTCTCTTATTGATATTTAATGTGGAAAAACGCCTATTCAAAAATAAATTTCCTAGAAGTATGAAGCATGAAATTCTTAAATAAATCTAATAAGTCAATTTCTATTTAAGAATATTATGTTTACAGGAAATATTTAATGTTGATCTAGTAAAATAGATTTATTCTCACATTGAAGAGATATTTTAATAAAAATAAAAAGAATTTTCGTTTCATGAAATGATATCATCAATAAATACACAAAATATTTATCTTAGATATAAGATTAATATCGGCATGACTAAGCTGATTTTACTATAAATAATTATCTACTTTTTTTATCTACACTTATCTACTGAAATTAATATTAATTTAATAATAGTTATGAATTAAGAAAAGAACTGTAATGATTGACATTGAGCAAAACAATAAAAGATTATATTAACTATTGTCTGAATGAAATTCTCCTGAACTATATTTTTTTCAGTTAAATATCTCATCTTCTATTTGCATACAAAAAAAACAAAAACTTTCTATGAAATATTTCAAATTGACTTTTTTTTGTTTTTTAACATATAAACTTATATTTCTCAATGATTTTTCTATTGAAAAAAGGTCATAATTCGTTATATGTCTGTTAGAAATAGATTTTTAGTATTTGGATATCTTGACAATAAAAAAAAGGATTCAAACAAATAAATCATCTTATTCACTCCTTGATTTAGTCTATATTATTTGTCATTATTGTCTTGATATATTTAAGTTTGATTAATAATGACTCAAACTAATTATATGATTTGTAAGTCAAAACCGTTAATTCCAAGAGAAGTTTTAACAACTAGTCGGCGCCAGAAATAGATGGAGAAAACTCAAGGAGGAATATCTTCTGAACGGATGTAGCTAGCGACCTGCGATTTTCACGATTAGAAAGAAAACGACCAGGGGCATCCGCACATGGTAAAATATAATTGGTCAGCAAT